TAGTAAGATTTCAGTCCAAGTGATTTAGTCCAATCCGGAACCTGTCTTTCAACTTGAAATCCCTCCACTTGTGGCCCTTTAAACTTTTTTGTTGGCAGAGTAGTTTGCGTTTATTAAGTTTCGAAATATCAGCATAGGTGATCCACTCGTCTCAAACCGATGCACTCTCATAAAAACCTTGAAGTCTCTTAATGTGGTTACAAAGGCTTCCTGTCAGCTTCATCAGCTGTTTTTTGCATCTCGAGTTCTGTAAATTGACCGTTACAGGTTCACTTAAGTAGTTTAAATGCCGGGAGCAACAATAAGCCTGGCAAAAGCTTCTTATAAGTGAGTTTTTTACCAAGTACCATGAGCCCGGAAGCAGCAGCTTAACACTTTGTAGACATATATGTTGTTGAAATCGGATTTTATTGGTCATCGGGAGTAGAAAATAAGCTAATGAAATCCCATTATGTGTAGAGAAGCTCATGTCAGATCGTGGAACAAACCATGGTATATCGAGACCCTAGTGCCCCATAGTCGTGATTATTCTATGATGAGTGTGCATTCGTGATAATAGTCCGAGGAATAGTAAAACAATATCTATCCTGCGTAGAGCAGTAGAAGAGAATATTTCATTGGCGACTACCCAAACTGCGAAGTGAGCGAAGATTGAAAGTGAGGAATAGGCCTGAGCGTTGCTTGACGGCTTCTCTAAGAAGACTTTATTGACATATTCAAGTCAAATTCTACAAATACTCAATGAATCCTCTATTGAATCTGCATTTAGGATGTTGGCGTTAATTGAGTAAAAGAGGCAGATAAGCTTCCTCTCTCAGTATATTCACTCATCCATCCATCACGAATATCGTTACGTTATATCTTGCTCTCTTTTCCCATCTCAAGAGCTATGCTTGGCAATATCTTGAATTCGATGAATCCAAATCTTTGGCTTTTATTGGGTATATTTGGCTTCTGTTGAAAACCTTCCAGATATTTTAGACGCCCTGGTCTTCAGGAATCTATTACGCGGACTCCCTAGAAATATCCCAAGAAATACCAATCCACTCGTGTGATGCTGACTGAAAGTTCATAAGAGGCCATTAATCGATTATTTTATTGTACCGAATTTTCAGTTCAAGCGCTATTGGCGGATCAATCTGCCGCATACTTTATTTTCCCTGGCGTACTGAGAGGAAGCTCATCCAAAAGTTTTGCTAAAATCCCTTGAAAAAAACATTAGGACTCCCGATTGGATGTATAAAATAAGCGTGTCCATGAGGCCGTCTTGTGGCGTTGATGGTATGATTCCTTTTGATTGGTGGCCAACATAGCCGGCCCCTATGTTCAGTAAGGCCAATGTGCGAGGCTGTAGACTTGGGGAAGGACCTCTACCTTCACTGCGAGAGACTTTGTCCCAAATTCAAGTCGATCTTTTCGTCTGCTCCCTATCGGCAGCAGTTATCTCGCTCATTTACCTTGCCAAGATTGCAGTATCTTTTGAAGTGATTCAGTTAGCCTTATTCTGCAGAATTCCCGCACCACTCGATAGGCTTAGGAAATTCATGATCTTGTTTCAATTTCAATTCTGAGCAAGGGAAGTTATCGAAGTGGGTGGAGTGATTTCGGTGGAAATGTTGTGACCTGACTGCATGATCGCTCTAACGCCTAGACCAGCCAATATCGAGAAGCTATGAAGGATGCAGTATATATGCCGGTGCTAAATACTTACTGAGATAAGTAAACAGGCTGTTCTCTTGGTATATCGCTCAGTGTACCGCGTAATATTGGAGTTTCTAGGTTTTGCTGCGGATTGTGCCCAGCAAACGGGAGATTTTAATATTGTCTGTTTGTCTATGAATTGGGTCAGCCACTGGAGGGTAGAAGAGCAAGCAAAGTCCGCTAGAGTTGTTGTTTTAGTATTTTCCTATCATTTTCTTCCTGCCTGATTGGACTAAATACGATGCAACCTCTCCTTTTACATAGATAATGTGACCCCAGATAGACTTTAGTGTCATCCCGGGCTTAGGTATTCAGTAGAGGCCCACTCAAGAAGCACTCAGTCTGGCTGCTGAGATAGTGACACATTTTGTATCAACTATGTAAGTGGAGGGTGACTTCATCAACAACCATGCGATTATTGCAATGTTTCATGCATGTTTCTAGATCATTTGTTAGAGCGAAGAGTAAAGCTCTCTCTCTTTGTCCTATCCCACCAATAAGATACACAATTCACTGCTGCTTCTTTCATTCCAAGTCATTCACTCATCTTTTTCTTCTTATTCGTTTTGTTTTTCTCCCAACCCGAGTATCGAACAACACTAGCATCATTACTCTTCTCTTTCCTCTCATTTGCCAAGACTTATGGAATTAAGAGCTATGAAGTGCTCGCACTATTCAAGTTCCAACGTGTGGTGCTTTCATGCTACTATGAAACTTTCCTTTTGGTTTAGGTGCTCTATCGTACTAGGTCTGTGAAGCTCATTTAAACCTACAGGCACGAGCCATCCACGCGCTTCAGGCGTATAAATGCCATGATGTTCTAGCAGACCTTTCCACTGTCATAAATCCTCACTTGGCCTTTTTGTAGTGTCAGTGACTTGTTCTGTTGTTAACTTGATCTGATGATAAGACAAGCCTTGTGGATGAGCTCCATATTCTTGGTATTTGTCTTAAGATCAGATCAGAATTCCAAAATGAACACTCAATGATACTGTTCAAAGTCCTAGTAAGGTATCCCGACAGCGGACATGTCTGCAAGAACATCATTGCATTTGCAAGTCCGAAATCCAGAGAAAGGCTGGCGTTTGATGATCGAAGTAAAATCAGTACAAGTCAATCCAGCGCCCTAGGCCATAGTTAGACTTCTGAGTTTGGGAAGAAGTGTGTTAAAAAGGATATCTTCGGCTTAGCGCAGGTAGTTTAGGGGTTTCCCGAGAGGCTTCGGTTCTTAAGAGCTACAGCTCTCAAGAAGATAGCAATTCTTCTTGCACCAAAACAAGCATTTATGGTAGTGGCCCAGCTTGACAAACTTGTGATAGAAGTTGAATATGGTGGTCAAGGTTGCCACAGTAAACACGAGAATCTGATATAAAGGGAGCTTTATTATGAAAGCAAGAGACAAAGAGCATAGAAAGTGACAGAGTCATATGAGGAGGATTTATTGGTGGGCTCGAGGGTAGACCAGGAATCAATGGCGACTTTATAACACATTACGTTGACATCGAATACTACCCTGTGGCTGCTAGGTCGAAATGCTACTTCTTACTGAGGCTTCCTACAGTCTAGGCCTTGATGAAAACAGTAATTGGACAGTTCCATTTCACTTCAGCATAGAAAGATCCATATGCTACCGAACCAAAGCTACCCTGCCATGGAATTGTGAGTGGTCGATCACATCATGTCAAGCCAACGTCTAAAAATACTTGAAGCCTTCTTCCCCATAGCGGAGCAAGCAGTCGTTCAATTCTATAACCATGTAGCATAGTGAGGTATCGATGAATTTGGCTTGGGGCCGACAATGTGACATGTTAACTTGAAGACTATATCATTCACAGGGAAATGAATTACCGGATCCGTTTATATCTAATACTTAAATCAGCAATATGAGCACACTGGTTACTTTTACGAGCACGGTTAGATAGCTTGACATAGGTCAGAGACGGTCAGTTTTAGTAGATTGTACTCTCTTTCCTTTTTTAAGACCTGCATAGAGACTACCGTATCAAGTTGACTAATCTTCAAGCTACTCTCAATGACTATGGTTTACTTACCCACACCATCTGAGTGCAATATGGCTTCCTATATTTCGTAAACAGAGGGCAAACATGAATGCTGGCTTGTTACGCCACCCAGTCCCTCGCTTGCTAGGAACGAAGGAAGGAACTTCCTCAAGCTTACTTGGTATCACGCAAAAGAGTCTTCGTGCTTAGCTCGTCTCCTTGTTCTCCGGGCCTTTCTTTCGAGACTTGATCAATGATACAAAACCATTATTGAGATTGATGCGTTTGACTAGGCTTTTTGAGAATTTTTAACTATCATGCCTAGCAGTCAGTGCCCCTGCTTAACGATCAAAAGCCCTATTATAGTTCAAACTGGGTAAACGCCACATGCACATTTATTTACGCTACTTTTATCCAATCAATCAGAATACGCAGGAGTGAATTTAAATGGGTGCTGTAACTAGGAGATCACCATCTATCTATATCTCCTGAACCCACATACCAATCCCAAACATATCGAAGTTCGGATTCATTTTTTTAGTTCCATTTGGACTTTAATGATATTTCCAAGAGTTAAGAGCGGTGGATACTGCGTCCTATCAAACATGAAGAGCAGATAATATCGCTATTCCATCCAGATTGGAAGTACAGATTATGAGAATCCCAGACCCGAACATCATTTCACTGCCAACGTTTAGATATCAAGCATTATTCAAAGACAGTGGTCAATTTGATGATGACTTTCATTTATTTCCAGATAAGAATCTCCTTGTACTCGGGAGCTATTATCACTTCCCGGGGGGATATACTTTGGTTACTTTCGCAAGTTACAGTCATCATTCTGACTATGCAGTCGGCATATTAATTGGTGTTCAATAACTGTCCTCCGTTTTCTGGACCTGTGATAGTGCATTTATTATCCGAGTTCTTTCATTGGGCGGGTAATATAAGCGCCCCCACAGCGATCGTGTGGCGTGGCTAGTGGGCTCCACATGATTGATGTGTGGGTCATCCCTGCGAGAGCTAACGATTGGTTGCGGACAAGTGGAGCTGCCCGAGCCCCTTCCCTCAAACACTCTATAGAGTAGGAACGACCCTGTCACTTCAAGGGTTTCATCCCGCAGCGTCTTCGAACCCAACTCCTTGAATTCTTGTGTCTTTAAACCCCATTGCCGACGGACGTTCTACGCGTGGAAAATCATAGCTCAGGTCCACTACGGGTCGTTGTGTTCATACGCACGAAATTCTTGGCTTCATCGACCCAGCCCTCCATCCATCCTTTTCTCTATATTCAATCCCATGAATGATAATTGGGGTCGTGTACAGGGCGACCGTGGCCGTGGTTGGGATCGCGGATTTGGTGATCGTAGCCATGATTCCCGAGATCGAGATCGCCGTCGCGGTCATGCTGAAACTTCTTATCTCCCGGCTGGGCAAGGGATGGGTAATCGCAAGGATCTCCGGGGTAATTTCCAGGGCCGAACTGGCGATACAAGTCGCGAAGTCTCTCGAGATGGCAGTGGAACCCTCCGTAGAGAAGGCTTTCGCGGTGGTTATAGATGCAATCGTGGTGATGTGAACCAGTACGGCTCCCCTATCTTTAGGTGTGTTTTCGCTCCATGATGTGTATTGTGGATTTTCCAAAGTCTAATCACCCAGCCACAGACAAGGCGAGGCTATCCCAATACCCAGTACTGTTGTGACCAAGACCGAAAATGACCTTGTCCGAGCTCTTGCTGTGAGCCACCAGACGGTACCTAGACAAGCAAAATACCCCGAACGCCCAGGCTATGGCACAGCGGGTAGACTCGTGACTTTGTACGCCAACTATATACCGCTGAGTCTTCCTAAGCAGCAACTGCTTCGCTACCACATCTCGATTGCAGCCGACTCTGGAGGCCATCTTGCTCCTGTGGGCAAAAAGGCTCGCCAACTCATTTGTCTATTGTTAGAGGAGCATTTCCCGCAGGAACGAAAATATATTGCATCGGACTTCCGGTCTACTCTCGTCTCCTGTGTCAGATTGATGGAAGGCATTTTCAATGTGCGGTACAAAGAAGACCTCGAGGACGACTACCCTAGAGTTCCCCGAGTTCACAGCGTCACCGTTCAATACACCGGTGAAGTCGACCCAGCTGATTTAGTGAACTACCTCACCTCCACCAATGCGAGTGCTATGCTTAAGAACAAACAAGAAATTATCGCTGCTATCAACGTGATTATTGGTCACCACCCAAAGACGAACGACAGAATTATGTCTGTTGGCGCCAACAAACACTTCAGTCTTGGTCAAGATACCATAGAATCTTTCGAACTTGGCGGTGGGCTTTCCGTTCTGCGTGGATTCTTCATCAGTGTTCGCGCTGCGACTGCTCGTGTTTTATTGAATGTGCAAGTTAAGTATATCGCTTGCTACAAAGAAGGACCTCTTGTCAAAGTTATCCAAGGCTACGGGAGTAGAAATACTTACCATTTGGAAAAGTTCCTTAAGGGCCTGCGCGTTCGTATCACGCACATCGCACGCAAAAATAGCCGCGGTCAGCGTCGCCCTCGCATCAAGCGTATATCTGGCCTTGCCAGTTGTGGTGATGGTGCCTCGTCTGACCATCCACCCAAGGTCACCCGCCATGGCGCTGGACCAAACGATGTGGAGTTCTTTATTGAGGAGTCTCGCCCTCGGCTGCTTTCGCTCCCCGCAACATCCGAGGTCAAAACTACGAGAGGCAAGAAGGCCCGGAGAATCGGCCCTTCACAAGCTGGACACTACACTACAGTGGCGGCCTTCTTTAAAAATGGTCAGTCACATAACCATTGCCTTTCGCTCTCTTTTTTCTCACTCTAGCTGACTTCTCCCCTAGAGTACAACATTCTGTTAGACCCATACCTGCCAGTGATCAATGTTGGACCTAGTGACAGACCTGTCTATCTTCCATGTGAGGTTTGCGAGGTCGAGCCCGGTCAGCCAGCAAGCTCGAAGATATCCGGCGACCAAATCGCTTCAATGCGCAAGTTCGCCGTGATGGGTCGAAAGCCCGGTCAAAATGCCCAATCGATTGTCAGCAAGGGTATCAGTATGTTGGGACTAGGACAGCCATTGAATGACACGCTGGTAAGAGAGAAATTATGCCAGAGATGTTGCCAGTATATCTGATTCTAATTTCACAGTCCGCTTTCGGTGTCAACACTTCTACCGACTTGATCACGGTTCCTGGACGCGTTCTCCCAGCCCCCAATGTCTACTATAAAGAGGGCAAAAGACTCAAAGAAATCAGGGCTACCGCTGGTAGCTGGAATATGCGCCATGTCCAATTATCCAAGGCCTCAACCATGAGATCTTGGACATACCTCTACATTGAGCGACAGGGCTCGCGACCGATTTTCCATCACTCTGGTCAACTCAACGCATCCCTAGAGGGCTTTCGCAAGACATCAAGAGACATGGGGATGCAAGTAAATCCTCACAAGGTCGGTAAGCGAGTAGTTCTCACTGGCGAGAACGACGCCACCACCATCGAGACAGCCATCCTCCAGTTGCAAAAGCAGCACAACCCAGACTTCATTTTAGGGATCATATATAAAAAGGACACTAGTGTTTACAACTGTCTGAAGCAAGTTTGTGATATCCGCTGCGGTATCCGCAATGTCAACGTCCTAGCAGAGAAATTCGTCAAGCCCAGCGATCAATACAATGCCAATATTAGCCTGAAAATCAACCTCAAACTCGGCGGTGCCAACCAGACCCTCCGTGCCGCCGATCTAGGTATTATATCCAAAGGAAAAACAATGCTTGTTGGACTAGATGTCACACACCCATCCCCCGGCTCTGCAAGTTTCGCCCCATCCGTCGCCGGTATTGTCGCTTCAGTCGGCTCGACTCTCGCCCAGTGGCCTGCCGAAATCCGCGTCCAAAGCGCACGCCAGGAAATGATCGCCGACCTAGAAAATCTTCTCGTTCGTCGCCTTCGGCACTGGCGCAGTCTAAACAAGGACCTCCCCGATAATATCATCGTCTATCGTGACGGTGTCTCAGAGGGACAGTACAACAAAGTGATCGACGAGGAATTGCCTCTCCTTCAGGCCGCCTGCAAAACCACCTACCCGGCCGACCAAACCAAGAAAGGTCTTCCCCGTTTCGCTATCATTGTCGTTGGGAAACGCCACAATACACGCTTCTACCCAACCGCCGAGCAGGATGCAATCCGCGACAACCCCATACCCGGCACCGTCGTAGACCGCGGAGTCTCCGAGGCCCGTCACTGGGACTTTTTCTTGCAGGCGCACGCTGCACTCCAGGGTACCGCTCGTCCAGCGCACTACTTCACCGTCTGGGATGAGATCTTTCACCCGGATCATCCTTCCCATATGGCTGGTCCTGGCGCAGCCGATGTCTTGCAGGACCTTACCCATAAGCTATGTTACATGTTCGGACGTGCTACCAAGGCTGTTAGCGTGTGTCCACCTGCGTACTATGCTGATCTGGTCTGTGCCCGAGCGCGTTGCTTCCTGTCTGATCTCTTCGATCCATTGTCGATAGAGTCTAGTGGCGATACTAATTTTATCGAGCGCAAAATGGGTATGTCGCGCACTGCCGATGTAGTTATCCATCCGAACGTGGCGGAGACGATGTTCTACATTTAGTTGCATATTGTGATGCCTGTCTCAGCGCTGTTGGCAGAACCAGGCACACGGTGACGAATGAGAGCATTGGTTGGCCTGCTGTGAGATCAATCATTGTATTTTGCTCCCAGATTGTCTTTCTCTGTATTCCATCTCCAGTTCAATGTCATCGCTAGAACGGGCCTTCCTTCCCACTAGTCTTGTCGCCCACGATTGAGGTTTACCTATTAAATTGGAATATCCATTCATCTCTCTTTCAATCAATCAATCAAACTACTGTATCCTCGCTAGTATTATAATGGCTATACAGGTCTTCTATCTAGTTGAAGCAAGAGCTTAGCCGTACGCCTGATCATGCCAATGCAGAAAAGAGAAACTAGGTAATAGCTTGATATATAAAGAGTTCCCATGCACAAAACATATGAGAAGTCTGATTTCCCAGGCACAAAAAGAGCGAGCAGATTCACCATCTGCCATTTCACCATCCTCTGTTCTCACTTCCACTTCAACCCCTCCTCGCCCTCAAATCCTGCAACGGGAAGATTAGATCCCGGTTCATCCCTATTTTAGCCTCAATTGCTGTTCAAAATTTTCCCTGGCCAAAGGGTTTTTGATCAATTCGGCACTGTGTATCAATCAATCAAAAATCAATCAAAGTTCAATTAACCTGATGCAGCCTAACTAGTATCGTAATGGCTATGCAGGCGCTTCTATCCAGTTGAAGCAAGAACTTGTCCGTACGCCTGAAAATGTAAATACAGAAAAAGAGCTGGTCCTCGGAAAGAGAGACCGGGTACCAGCTCGACACGAATACCAATCGCATAACCCAAAACATACGAAAAGCCTGGTGCCGTAGGCATCCAGGTACAAAGAATGACCGCAGATGCACCATCTGCCTTTCCCACCTCCCATCTCTGCCTCTCAAATCCTGCATCACATCAACAGGCCCCGTCTATTCTCACTTCAGCCTCAATTTCTGTTCAGATTGGTCATGACCGAAGAGTTTTAGTCCAATTCGGCACCGTATAGTCGAATAGCGAATCGAGGGACGTAGTCTCTCCACCCTCAACCGTAGTCGCAAGCATTGGTGAGTACCCAGCGTCTTCGGGACTCTGCTCCCTGGCCTCTCAGACTTCTTGGTCGTCATCGGCGTCAAACTCGGCGTGTTGGAACTGAGCAAGGAGACCGGTTTGGTGCATGAATTTGGCAACGTAGCGGGTTGCCAGCGGGTCAGATACGATTGCATCGTAGTTAGTTATATCCTTTATGTCCACAGCGTGGAGTTGATTAAAGAGACGCCTTCTTAACTCCACGTAAGTCTCACATTGAAGTAAGAAATGCTTCGGAGTTTGAGACCCCTCCCCGCAAGGGCATCTGTCGGTCTCCGATTCCTTGATCTTAAACAAGAAGTGTCGTAGTGCAATACGCATCGAACGCATCTGAATCAAGATCGAAGACCTTGGTTTAGATAGGCATTCGTACAGCCTTAGTACCTTCTTATTCGGCAGATCAACCAAGCGCTTGGTCGGCTGAGCAGTCCACTCGCTTACCCACTCTGTCTCCCACCGGTCCTGAATGCGCGCTCGAACCGTACGCTTGGCGGCTGCGGCGAGCCGGATGGTGGGTTGTTCCGCTCCGCCGGTCGCACCTCCCGCATGTTGGAGAGCCGCGCACTTCGCCCTGCTATCAGCAGCTTCGACCAGTGCGCGTCAACCCTCCATATCAGCTCCCCCCACTTCGTTCAATTTGATCAAGTCAATCTGGATCACCTACACACACGTCAATTGGTACACTTGATATAGGATTCACCGGTACGGTCTCGTCTTCTCCTCACTGTTCGACCCTGCTAGAACAATACGGGTATGGTTTGAATGCTGGCTTTTCCTGGATAACCTATAAAGGAGTCAATGTCCTTTGGTTGCCTGCCGAATATCGACCAACTCAGTCCTTTAATTTTTTTATGTCTTCGACAAATTTCGCCATCGCTTGTTCGTCACGTCGCATCATATTTCTCGCGCTTTCAGAACAGAGCCCCATCCCTGGCCTTTGATTTAGTGAACAGGGGTTGCCTTTAAAGCATAAAAGTAGATTTGCACTCAATAGTATGCCGAATGAAGCTTGCGGGAAGCTCGTCATCTGGCCTGTTTGTTTCCCACTCTGAGAGCTGAAGTAGCTTGTTGATTTCTAGTCGGGTAGAGTAAGGGCTCGGAATCGTCCTGGGGGCAATGGTCCAACGAAGGGCTGAATCCGTATTCTGAGAGTGGTATGTAACCGTGAAATCCCGGATTAGGGCGTGTTGCTAGTCCTGGTCCGAGGGATCGGGGTTTTGGGCTTGGGGTTCATCACCATTGAGATAGAAGTGGTTGATCATAGTCCTCAATTTCCTAGTAAACCGAGCTTCGGCACATTTTAGTCGTCCAGGGTTCAACAGAGGGTGGGACCCAAGGAATCCAGTAATTTGTAGGGCGGATAAGTCGGTTGTAAAGAAATATTCGACTCACCGCGCCACCGTATCTTCTGAAGTAGGGCGCGGAATACTGCCAGGAGGATCAGCGATGAATTTGAATATCAGCTCGCTAATGCTTCACGCATACATAACTCGCATTTTTCACTCGTATTCCAGAGTACCCGCTGAGAACACCATCGGTGATCTCTGACAGAGACACATGAGTCTGACGCGAAGAATTTCTAAGTGTGGGATATGACTCACTTTTGAACATGTATACGAAAGTACATTTAGCTTAGTAGAGCCCTACAGCCCCGTAGCCCTATCCTCCTTAATTTTCTTTATTATCAGGCAGCTGAACAAAGCCAACAGGATAATCGACCGTATGCGCGGATTAATTTATGAGGTTAATAGTTTTTTTCAAATAAATAGGGAAATCAAACAATGTAAGAAAACATATCCTTCTCTGAGATCGCTAAAGGAATTGTCTATTTGCAAGATCGCCTGCTCTATTAATTCTTCCCGTCAAGTTCAATTCCTGAACAGCATTCTGATGATCGCGGTTCTGCAACAAATTGGTGTCAAACATGACCTTGATATTCTCGGTAGCGATGTCATGGCTTAGGTAACACCCTTAACCAAACCAGTCCTGGGTAGGCGGCCCACTAAAGGACTAGTGTGCAAACCTCCAAGGTTCTAAGGTTGCCTTTGTTGCTGACTTCAGCACCGCCACATATAAGTCTACTTAAGTATATCTTGGGTTATCGTATTTTAGCATATTTGGACATCTTCACACGGCAATGTTTTTGAGGGGATACGGGGTAAACCAGACCATGTACATAGTATAGTAACTGGCAAACATCAGGCAAATATGGCCAAATAACAAAATCCAGATCCCCATTAAGAAATCTTATTTCGCGATGTTAAATTGGTCGAAAACCCGGATTTTGATCGATCTGACTTTTTAGGGGTAATAGAGCTATTTTGGCAGCCACTAAGGGGTTAAAATGGCCTAATTAGGTATAGCGATACAATTTTTGCCGGCACTAGCACCAGGCTAGCACCTAAACACGCTAGAGGCTATCGCTTAGTCCTTCAGAATACAAAGAAAGAGCCAATAGGAAGCTTCCGTTTCAATGCGATGAATGCATTATCCGAAATGGCTTTAGACTGGACTCTGGCCTCAACCTGCAGAGACCCTGAATAAAATCTTGTCGTATATGAAGGCGGTGGCCGCTCTCCCTTTTCCTCTTATCATCTTTTCTCAATTTCCATTCCTGTCGCTCGTTTGACTATATACCCCGACATTCGTTAAATCAGTACAATATGCGTATCCGATCTTTCGCCCTTTTGGCCGGTGCCACTGCCGCCATCGCTGCCGACACAGTCTCTCTTTTCCTAATTGGCTTCGATGAGCAACCACTTGAGGGCAAGGTCATTGGCAATGTAAGCACAACCATCCCTCTATCAATCTACCACAAAAACCTAATCAATATCATCCTAGACCGGTTCCATGACCAAATATCTCATCAAATGTGCTGCTGGCGTTGACTCCACCGAATGCGGCCTTCCCCCTAATGGCATGACCGTGGCCCAAGGCTCTTCAACCGTCAGCCTAGCATACGGCACGGGACGTATGTGAGTATATCCAGCCCTACAAAGAATCCACTTCTACCCTATCAGTCATATCTGATTATTTACTAAAACAGGTCCATCGCTGAGAACTGTAAGTATGATTCCGTAAGCGTGACCTGCGCCGCAAGCCTCGACGAGGAAGGCATAACTACCACCTTCACGTCCGCCGTCGCCCTCACTGAAATCCCCGGTGGCGGCGCTTTAATGCCTGTCACTATCACCGGAACTGGAACGGAGAAGGCTGTCGCCGCTACTGGTGCCTCCGTAACGGCTTCTACCGCTGCCTCGACTAGCGGCGCTGATTTGACTACTTCCGCTTTAAATACCGTTGGTACTAGCACTGGTACTAGTACTAGCGAGTCCTCGGATAGCAGCAGTGTTGCTGCCACCAGCCAGACTGAATCTGGTAACGCTGCTATGCCTATGATTACTGGAAACGCGCTCTGGGCTGCCGGTGGTGTTGCAGCTGTATTGGCTCTTGCCGCTCTTTGATCATCTGGACATTTGTTGGAATGAGGTTGGAGGAGTACAGTCCTGGCTCGGTTAACGCCTCTCTGCCTTAATAAAAAATATGTACTTCCTCATATATTCTATGCAATACTGTATACGAAGCGTGGTAATTTTTCTTTACTTTGGTCTTACCGACCTAATCTGAATCTATATTGTTGGCAATTGAACATGTACCTGGTATTTATGCCACACAACGTGGGACCTCGGAATATACACAATCAATCAATCAATCAAAGTTCAATTAACCTGATGCAGCCTAACTAGTATCGTATGTTGAAAGGCTACGATGCAAGTAGGAATGATGACTGGTACGACCGTACAATATAGATAATCTAACAATAGATTATCGAGGTGTTTAAGTCTGGAAATTCTCATTTGTGTGAGAACCTCCTTATATACCAGAAAATTCTGCCTTAAGCTACTCCTAATT